AGTCAAGTAGTATTGTAAAATTAATCATCTGTTACTACAAATATAAGAATTTCCTTCATTCTTTTCTCTGGACTGTCTGTTGTCCCAGTTAACTTTAGCTTCACACGCTATAACCATAGACTCAAAGCAAGTTTTTGTGTTTGAAAATTGGTGAAGGTTCTGATAGAAAAGAAGAGACTAGAACTTACCAACAGATGCTTCTTCCAAAGACCTCATCACTTGCATGCTCAGCATCTGAAACGAAAATGATGAAGAGATGATCCGAGGAGGAAATTCTGCAAATGGGTCATGCTCATCATGGTTGCAGAGAATGACAGTTCATCAATTCCCATCAAATCATGTTAAGAACTATGGCTAATAACCCTGCAAATTATGCAGCAGTAGTTCCAAGGAACGCGTAGTTACTTGCCTACAGTCTACAAATTATAAAAACTAGGCTTTTGAAAGATATATATTCAGTCTGACACGAACGAATAAGAGATTATATCAAGGAGAAGATTTTATTGCTGACTTGATTTCTGATATGCAGAACAAGAAGCTTTAGCTAAGAGCAAGCCAGAAGGAGCTCCTTAAACATCGGAAGATCTTGCGAAGATAAAGTACACATGGAGAGTAGGAATGAAGACTTTGACCCTGTTTCTGTTAGCAGTTGAGTTTTTCTTGAACAGTGGTTGCTGAAGTCAGAAAGTTATAATTATTTTTTCTATATTCTGCTTTAGTCGGTAAGTGGTAGTTAAAAGGAATGGTGAAGCATGTTTTGAAGCAAGAAAATCAGCAACTCTTGCTTGTTTTGGTTAACAAAATGGTGTGTTTTATTTGATTTTTTTACTGAGAGTTTGTATTTGCTGTAACAAAATATCTTCTCTTTAAAATGTTATTATATATATGTAGGGCTGATGAACTACAAAACAGAGAGTTCAGATTCTCCAGAAGCTATCCTTACTCTGCTGTATTCTCTTCTGCATTTCCTCTGCATTTTTTTGCTCTTTTTTTTTTCTCACTGCAGACCCACATATTCAGATTTAAGTTTCTGTATTATTCTCTCTCTGTTTTGTAATTACAAACACAAAAACAACAAGCTTTTGCCTCCAACAGTGGTATCAGAGCAGTATTCTTTTAAGGGCCTTGAGTTGTGAGCAATTCAAATGGCTTCAAGTGTCAACTTGCCAGCTCCACCAGTATTTACAGAGGAGAATTATGATTATTGAGTAGTGAGATTGGAAGCCTATCTTCTTGCTTATGATCTATGGAGCGTTGTGGAGGAGTATGTAAGAGTTCCATTACCATATAATCCCACCTTACCGCAGATTAGGCAAGATGCAGAAGGGTCCATCAGGAATTTCAAAGTTCTTTCAATTCTTCATTCTGCAGTGTTTGATGATATATTCCCAGGGCTGGTGGCCTTCAAAATAGCCAAGAAAGCTTTGAATTATTTGAGGGAAGAATATGCTGGGAGTGCTAAAGTGAAAAGAGTAAAATTGTTGATTCTGATAAGAGAGTTTGAGTTGTTGAGAATGCAGGATGGAGAGAGTATTAAAGAATATTCTACAAGATTGATGAATTCTTGTTAATTAAATAAGATTGCTTTGAGAAGAATTTAAAGATCAGAGAGTGGTTAAAAAAATGATGATCAGTCTCCCTGAGAAGTTTGCATCAAAATTGTTTGCGATCGAAGAAACATGTGATCTTGAAAAGTTTACTGTTGCTGAACTTATCACCAAGGTACAGGCTCAGGAGTAGAGGGTTTCAATCACAAATGATGAGATCACTGAAAATACTTTTCAAGTAAGGCAGAGGTACAAGTTTGGGACCTCAATTTCAAAAAATGAAGGTCAATCATCAACAAACAAATAAAGGGAAGTAGCCATCGATTTCAAAAGATTCATCATAAAAAGAAAAATATCTTCCTTGTGGAAGTTGTGGTAAATCCAATCATCTTGAAAGTAAGTGGTAGAAGCATGTACAATGTAAAATTTGCAAAAAATATGGTCATTCGGAGAAGGTATCTTGGAAGAGAAAAAATTAAGTATCACAGTAAAAGAATGGGTCTCAACAACAGCAACATCCACTTTAGTAACAGGAAGTCTATTTTGCTAAGAACCATGAACATCAGGAAAGTCATCTTTTCATGATGACTAGGGCATCTTGTGTGAGGGGAAGTGATTTCTGGTATGTGGATAGTGGGTGCACAAGGCATATGGCCAAGGATTGTATGTTGTTCAACAACTTGGATGTTAATTGCAAAACTAAAGTGAAACTTGACAATGGACAGTTGTGGAAGCTCAAAGAAAAGGCTCAATACCAGTTCAAACTAAGCGAGGTATTAAACTCATAATTGATGTGCTCTTTATTCCTGTTTTAGAACAAAATTTGTTGAGTATTACTCAAATGCAAAACAAGAGTTATTCTATTTTGTTCAAAAATGATCACCGCTTTATTTATGATCTTACAAATTTGCTAGTAGCAAAAATCAAGAAAAATGAAATTAGTTATGTGTTTGGTCTAAAATATGCAAATCAATATGTTTTTGTTGCTAAAGATCATTTGACCTGCTTGTGGCATAAAAAATTTAGTCATGACGATGTTGACTTTTTGAAGTTTATGCAAAAGAGTAGGGATGTGCTTGTTGATAAATCAATATTTCGGAATTTGGATAAGAACCAAGTTGAAGAAAGAAGCTCATAGAAGATGCAGTTGTTGTAACTTCAAGTTCCCAAAATGTTCCTGTTGAAAAGGCTCAACTTGATTCTGCAGAATTTGATGATCCAAATGCAGACACACTAGACACAAAGACTATGTTATTGGTAGAGAATTATGAAAGGTGCAATTTGGCCATCATTGAACCAACAAACTATGAGGAGGTTATGACGTACAAGGAGCGGCAATTTGCTATGCAGGAGGAGATTTTCATTGAACAACCTCAGGGGTTTGGAGTTGATGGAAAGGTTGACATAGTATACAAGTTGAAGAAAGCCTTGTATGGCCTCAAGCAGCTAGTACAACAGTTTAAATAACTGATGATGAAAGAATTTGCTATGTTAGATTTTGGAGAGATTCCCCTGCAACATGGCAGGACAAAAGCATATAAAAGGTAAGTTTCATTTTCTGCGCAAAGCTGAGAAGAACCAGGAGATCCATTTGGAGCATTGCAGATGAGAGGAGCAACTTGCTGATATCCTAACTAAATCTCTGCCAAGGGACGGTTTAAGACTTGAGAACCAAGCTTGGACTATTCGAAAGAAAACTCAAGAAGTGTTAGCAGTTGAGTTTTTCTTGAACAGCGATTGCTGAAGTCAGAAAGTTGTGATTATTTTTTCTATATTCTGCTTTACTTAGTAAGTGGTAGTTGAAAAGAATAGTGAAACATGTTTTGAAGTAAGAAAATCAGCAACTCTTGCTTGCTTTGGTTAACAAAATAGTGTGTTTTATTTGACTTTTTGGTTAACAGTTTGTATTTGCTGTAGCAAAATATCTTCTCTTAAAAATGCTATATATAATACAACAGAATAAGGACAGCAGAATATAAAAAAAAATAATCAC